TGATCTGCCGAGCAGCTGGGAGAGGTTCAAACCATCTTACCTCTCCCCAAAACCAGCCCCAACACCTAGAGCTGTGGTCGCCCAAGGTATAGTTGCTATGGTTATGTATAGAAATAGTCTCATTTGCCACTCAGGTCAAGTAGGGAGTGTTAAAGTGATAGGGAGTGAACATTTTTAGATTTTTAGTTTTTCTTTTAATAAATTAAATTTGTTAATATTTTTGCATTTCATTATTTCCATGTGTTTTTGTGTAAACTTGTATACTCTATGTCCGATCATCGATACACTTCCTCCCCCTCTCCCACCCCCCCTTACAAGTGGACATCTCTCAACACAAATCAAAAAAATTCCTCCAGCTCAGAGGTCACCTTCACCTCCGTGACCAACGGCTGTGCACCACCATATAGTTGACCCAACACCAACTATTGGTGTTGGGCCTCACTTTAAATGATATCTTGTGTGCAAAGCAATCACATTGTTGTGTCGATGATGGGTGTTAAGGGTAGAACTGATCACAGCCAGAGAGTGTTCAGGCAATGCCAAAACCCAAGAGATACCGTGGAAGCCTCATGGCCCATAGAGGATGTCACGAGGATTGGTTTAGGGAGTATGCTTAGTAGTGTGTAAGTTCGAATCCTCCTCAACATATTTTCTCTTCAGATCTTGTCGTTCATTCCTCAGACTGTCTTCATTTTCTGCTCCTTCAGGAGCTCTCCAAAGCTCCTTGTGATCCCCGACGACGCCACCAACTCTGGCGGCGGGAGGTGACGCACACAGCGGCGGGAGGTGACGCACACAGCGGCGGGAGGTGACGCACCCAGCGGCGGGAGGTGACGCACACAGCGGCGGGAGGTGACGCACCCAGCGGCGGGAGGTGACGCACACAGCGGCGGGAGGTGACGCACACAGCGGCGGGAGGTGACGCACACAGCGGCGGGAGGTGACGCACCCAGCGGCGGGAGGTGACGCACACAGCGGCGGGAGGTGACGCACACAGCGGCGGGAGGTGAAGCACACAGCGGCGGGAGGTGACGCACCCAGCGGCGGGAGGTGACGCACCCAGCGGCGGGAGGTGACGCACACAGCGGCGGGAGGTGACGCACACAGCGGCGGGAGGTGACGCACCCAGCGGCGGGAGGTGACGCACCCAGCGGCGGGAGGTGACGCACCCAGCGGCGGGAGGTGACGCACCCAGCGGCGGGAGGTGACGCACCCAGCGGCGGGAGGTGACGCACCCAGCGGCGGGAGGTGAAGCACACAGCGGCGGGAGGTGAAGCACACAGCGGCGGGAGGAGACGCACACAGCGGCGGGAGGAGACGCACACAGCGGCGGGAAGTGACGCACACAGCGGCGGGAGGTGAAGCACACAGCGGCGGGAGGTGACGCACACAGCGGCGGGAGGTGACGCACACAGCGGCGGGAGGTGACGCACACAGCGGCGGGAGGTGACGCACACAGCGGCGGGAGGTGACGCACACAGCGGCGGGAAGTGACGCACACAGCGGCGGGAGGAGACGCACACAGCGGCGGGAGGTGACGCACACAGCGGCGGGAGGTGACGCACACAACGACGGGAGGTGACGCACACAGCGTCGGAAGGTGACGCACACAGCGGCGGGTGGTGACGCACACAGCGGCGGGAGGTGACGCACACAGCGGCGGGAGGTGACGCACACAGCGGCGGGAGGAGACGCACACAGCGGCGGGAGGTGACGCACACAGCGGCGGGAGGTGACGCACACAGCGGCGGGAGGTGACGCACACAGCGGCGGGAGGTGACGCACACAGCGGCGGGTGGTGACGCACACAGCGGCGGGAGGTGACGCACCCAGCGGCGGGAGGTGACGCACCCAGCGGCGGGAGGTGACGCACCCAGCGGCGGGAGGTGACGCACCCAGCGGCGGGAGGTGACGCACCCAGCGGCGGGAGGTGAAGCACACAGCGGCGGGAGGTGAAGCACACAGCGGCGGGAGGAGACGCACACAGCGGCGGGAGGAGACGCACACAGCGGCGGGATGTGACGCACACAGCGGCGGGAGGTGAAGCACACAGCGGCGGGAGGTGACGCACACAGCGGCGGGAGGTGAAGCACACAGCGGCGGGAGGTGACGCACACAGCGGCGGGAGGAGACGCACACAGCGGCGGGAGGTGACGCACACAGCGGCGGGAATAGACGCACACAGCGGCGGGAGGAGACGCACACAGCGGCGGGAGGTGACGCACACAGCGGCGGGAGGTGACGCACACACCGACGGGAGGTGACGCACACAGCGTCGGAAGGTGACGCACACAGCGGCGGGTGGTGACGCACACAGCGGCGGGAGGTGACGCACACAGCGGCGGGAGGTGACGCACACAGCGGCGGGAGGAGACGCACACAGCGGCGGGAGGTGACGCACACAGCGGCGGGAGGTGACGCACACAGCGGCGGGAAGTGACGCACACAGCGGCGGGAGGTGCACACAGCGGCGGGAAGTGACGCACACAGCGGCGGGAGGAGACGCACACAGCGGCGGGAGGTGACGCACCCAGCGTCGGAAGGTGACGCACACAGCGGCGGGAGGTGACGCACACAGCGGCGGGAGGTGACACACCCAGCGTCGGAAGGTGACGCACACAGCGGCGGGAGGTGACGCACACAGCGGCGGGAAGTGACGCACACAGCGTCGGAAGGTGACGCACACAGCGGCGGGAGGTGACGCACACAGCGGCGGGAGGAGACGCACACAGCGGCGGGAGGTGACGCACCCAGCGGCGGGAGGTGACGCACACAGCGGCGGGAGGTGACGCACACAGCGGCGGGAGGTGACGCACACAGCGGCGGGAGGAGACGCACACAGCGGCGGGAAGTGACGCACACAGCGGCGGGTGGTGACGCACACAGCGGCGGGTGGTGACGCACACCACAGCGGCGGGTGGTGACGCACACAGCGGCGGGAGGTGACGCACACAGCGGCGGGTGGTGGCGCACACAGCGGCGGGAGGTGACGCACCCAGCGGCGGGAGGTGACGCACACAGCGGCGGGAGGAGACGCACACAGCGGCGGGAAGTGACGCACACAGCGGCGGGTGGTGACGCACACAGCGGCGGGTGGTGACGCACACAGCGGCGGGTGGTGACGCACACGGCGGCGGGTGGTGACGCACACAGCGGCGGGTGGTGACGCACACAGCGGCGGGTGGTGACGCACACAGCGGCGGGTGGTGACGCACACAGCGGCGGGAGGTGACGCACACAGCGGCGGGTGGTGACGCACACAGCGGCGGGAGGTGACGCACCCAGCGGCGGGAGGTGACGCACACAGCGGCGGGAGGAGACGCACACAGCGGCGGGAGGTGACGCACACAGCGGCGGGTGCTGACGCACACAGCGGCGGGTGGTGACGCACACAGCGGCGGGTGGTGACGCACACGGCGGCGGGTGGTGACGTACACAGAGGCGGGAGGTGACGTACACAGAGGCGGGAGGTGACGCACACAGCGGCGGGAGGTGACGCACCCAGCGGCGGGAGGTGACGCACACAGCGTCGGGAGGTGACGCACACAGCGGCGGGAGGTGACGCACACAGCGGCGGGAAGTGACGCACACAGCGGCGGGTGGTGACGCACACAGCGGCGGGAGGTGACGCACCCAGCGGCGGGAGGTGGCGCACACAGCGTCGGAAGGTGACGCACCCAGCGGCGGGAGGTGACGCACACAGCGGCGGGAAGTGACGCACACAGCGGCGGGAGGTGACGCACACAGTAGCGGGAGGTGACGCACATAGTAGCGGGAAGTGACGCACACAGCGGCGGGAGGTGACGCACACAGCGGCGGGAGGTGACGCACACAGTAGCGGGAAGTGACGCACACAGTAGCGGGAGGTGACGCACACAGCGGCGGGTGGTGACGCACACAGCGGCGGGAGGTGACGCACACAGTAGCGGGAAGTGACGCACACAGCGGCGGGAGGTGACGCACACAGCGGCGGGAGGAAACGCACCCAGCGGCGGGAGGTGACGCACACAGTAGCGGGAGGTGACGCACATAGTAGTGGGAATTGACGCACACAGCGGCGGGAGGTAACGCACACAGCGGCGGGAGGTGACGCACACAGCGGCGGGAGGTGACGCACACAGCGGTGGGAGGTGACGCACACAGCGGCGGGAGGTGACGCACCCAGCGGCGGGAGGTGACGCACCCAGCGGCGGGAGGTGACGCACCCAGCGGCGGGAGGTGACGCACACAGCGGCGGGAGGTGACGCACCCAGCGGCGTCTTGCCAACCTAACACCAACACTACGTTTGAGGGTAGTCATCTCACAGGGGTCTCCTGCCTTGCCTAACGACTCACAGCGGTCTCCTGCCTTGGCTAACGACTCACAGTGGTCTCCTACCTTGGCTAACGACTCACAGCGGTCTCCTGCCTTGGCTAACGACTAACAGCGGTCTCCCTCCTTGGCTAACGACTCACAGTGGTCTCCTACTTTGGCTAACGACTCACAGCGGTCTCCTGCCTTGGCTAACGACTCACAGCGGTCTCCTGCCTTGGCTAACGACTCACAGTGGTCTCCTACCTTGGCTAACGACTCACAGCGGTCTCCTGCCTTGGCTAACGACTCACAGCGGTCTCCTCCCTTGGCTAACGACTCACAGCGGTCTCCTGCCTTGGCTAACGACTCCCGGGCGTAATATGACTATTCCGCTAATGTATCTGAAGTTTTGATTGGTGGTGGCGGCTCCACCGTTCACTAAATACATTGACAAGCAAAAGTATCCTTCTGACGTGACTCTCTTGTAAGAGACGTGACAGTTGCTTCCACAGTCTCACCCGCTCCCTGTAGCACTCACGGTGGAAGATTATGACCAAATAGTCGTAGAGAACTTAAACCGCAGTTACTAGTAAATCAGCTATAGCTAATAAGGCATGGAATGGCAGCAGGATGAGGTGGTATAGTCGCCTCTCACCACCCACACGCGCCTTCACCCTGCCAGTCCTCGCTGGGGCCAGGCACTAACCTGACGTAGAAGGGCTGCTGCACGTTGACGGAAGTGTTGAAGGTGGTGGTAAGGGTCTGGGAGACCTTGAGCGCCACGTCAGTAATGTTGCGCTCACACGAGGTGGTATTTACCAGGGTCGTCGCTACTCCATACTGAAAGGTTATTGTAAACCTGAATTAGTACTTATTCGAAACATAAAAATTTATTAAATATGTTATCAATGGCAGATTAAGGTGAAAATAATAATTGCTATATTAAGAATACTTATTGAAGACAAGTGGTGCAGGCAGCCTACATATACAGTCGCAGGCAGCCTACATGTACAGTCGCAGGCAGCCTACATGTACAGTCGCAGGCAGCCTACATGTACAGTCGCAGGCAGCCTACATGTACAGTCGCAGGCAGCCTACATGTACAGTCGCAGGCAGCCTACATGTACAGTCGCAGGCAGCCTACATGTACAGTCGCAGGCAGCCTACATGTACAGTCGCAGGCAGCCTACATGTACAGTCGCAGGCAAAAGTCTTTCATGGGTAGTGGGGAAAGCTGAGGTTATCTTGAGGTTATCTTGAGGTTATCTTGAGATGATTTCGGGGATTTTTTAGTGTCCCCGCGGCCCGGTCCTCGACCAGGCCTCCACCCCCAGGAAGCTGCCCGTGACAGCTGACTAACACCCAGGTACCTAATTTACTGCTAGGTAACAGAGGCACAGGATGAAAGAAACTCTGCCCATTGTTTCTCACCGGCGCCTGGGATCGAACCCAGGACCACAAGATCACAAGTCCCGCGTGCTGTCCGCTCGGCCGACCGGCTCCCTTTTTCTCCCTCCCTCCCGGGGAGGGAGAATAAATTGCAACGTTGCATTACGAGGTACCAAGATGGGGCAATAATTAACACATTTAGTTTTTACATTTTCGACAAAGTATTGTCGATACTTTTCATTATATATTGATGTATTTAATGCCTCTAGCTCTTGTCCTTCAGACCCGGAAGCCATTTAATTGCATATCTCTGCACCTTTTCCAGTCTGTTGATGTACTTCTTAAGATATGAGCACCATACAATTGTTGCATATTCGAGCTTTGGTCTCACAAAGGTTGTGAACAATTTCTTTAGTTTTCTTTTAGTATTTAACCATTCATATATTTTAAAGCAAATATGAAACTGCGAAGCGTAGCATAGGCCCCTTATACAATGTCCTTTATGTGGTCCTCAGGTGACAGTTTACTATCTAGAACCATCCCTAGATCTCTCTACCAGAATTGTTAAAGCTTTTTTACATAATGTGTTAATTGTGTGTGGGCTATTTTCTCCGATTCCACATTCCATAACTTGGCAAATATTCACTTTGAATACTGGTTTACCACTTGACACCCCAAACACTTATTTTATCTAGATCAAGTTGAAGAACATTACAATCGTCTGCGTCTCCTATCTTCCCCAGTATCTTAGCATCAGCTGCAAAAAAGTTCATTTAATTCTGTATTCCTTCTGGTAGATCGTTTATGTAGACAATGAACATTACTGGTGCAAGAACTGAACCCTGTGGTACTCCCCAAGTAACACTCCTCCAGTCTCTGATTTGTCTCTGATTTCTCTGATTTCTCTGTCTCTGATTGACTTTGTCTGTGATTTCCGCCCTCATCTGTCTGTCAGAAATTTTTTCAACCGTGTCAGAAGTCTCCCTGTCACCCTTCCAGCATGTTCCAGTTTCCAGAATAACCTCTTGTGTGGGATTCTGTCAAAAGCCTCTTTTAGGTCCAGATAGACAGTCAACCCAACTATCTTTCCTGTTCAATCTCTGTGGCTATCATAAAAACTAAGTAGATTTGTTACACAGTATATTTCTGTTCGAAACCCATACTGTCTTTCCGTTATTATGTCCTTACTCTCCGGGTGTTCAACCCATTTGGCTTTAACTATTGTGTTTAGAAAAGGCCTAAAAAAGCGTAGAAAGGAAAAATGCATAGAAATTTTTAGAACAGACCTGGATCTGTTTTGCATTTGTTCGCTATATCTTGCTCAAAGTTCCTTTCTGCCTCTCTCCTCACCGCTGTGTAATTCTTTCTTGCTAGCTTGAGGTGCTGGTATATTTGCGAGTTAGGCCTCTTCCGATATTGAACCCATTTTGTTGTCTTTTCCTCTCTGGCCCTCTCACAATTTCTGTTGAACCAATTTTGTTTTCTGGTCATGCATCTCTGATGTGGAATAAAAAAAATTGTCGTCATCGTATATTTCACAGAACTTGGCATACATCTCATTTACTTCCTTGCCTAGCAACAAGTCTGTCCAATTAAATTCATTAAAGACTTTGCTACGTTCCTCATAGTATCCTCTCTTGAAATAATGTTTTTCATCTGTTGCCATGTCCCCATTCTTTTAGATTATATTGCAATGCATATTTAATTTCCAACAGGACATCATCACTCTTTCCCAAGGGAGGTAGATACTGGATGTTTAATTATCTCCTCTTCTTTCCTGGTGAATATTTTATCCGGTATTGACGGAACATCTCCTTCCCTCATTCTTGTGGCCTGCTTCACGTGTTGGTACATGAATGTCTCCAGAATGAGGTTTACAAATATGCCTGTACAAATTTCCTCCATTCTTGCTTCGTAGCCCTCCCAGTTAATTCCATTCAAGTTGAAGTTCTCTAGTGCCAATAATCGTTATTTATCTTTATCGGATTTTATTATAATCTTTCATGACCATTATGAGGCCCTCTCATTGTTATCTAGTTACTCTTTTGTCCATGTGTTGCATGCTGGTGGACTGTAGGCATTTACCATTATCAGTATCATTCTGATTCCAGGATGATTCTGTTCACCGGTGGAAGGCTATGATCTTATTAACCATCTGTGTAGTTTCCTTCTTACTAATCACATTTCACATCTCAGAAGTCATGTGGGTGGTATCTTGGTCGACAGCAATAAGTTCACCCAGGGCAGTCCTGAGCTTAAGACGTGTTCCAATGGGAACAAGGGGCTGAGTTGTTGTAGACTGTGATTTATCTGTAATACTTAACGAAGTATAGGTGATTGATCCGACGTACCCCACGGGATGGCCTAATTGAGTTACGAGATGGAATCAATGTCCGTCTGTCAAGGCTTCTTATAAATGAAGCCTGTGTGGAAGTCTGCAAGTGTGTGGCTGGAGACCCCTGTCAATGTGTTGCTGGAGACCCCTGCCAGTGTGTTGCTGGAGACCACTGCCAGTGTGTTGCTGGAGACCCCTGCCAGTGTGTTGCTGGAGACCCCTGCCAGTGTGTTGCTGGAGACCACTGCCAGTGTGTTGCTGGAGACCCCTGCCAGTGTGTTGCTGGAGATCCCTGCCAGCGTGTTGCTGGAGACCCCTGCCAGTGTGTTGCTGGAGACCCCTGCCAGTGTGTTGCTGGAGACCCCTGCCAGTGTGTTGCTGGAGACCCCTGCCAGTGTGTTGCTAGAGACCCCTGCCAGTGTGTTGCTGGGGACCCCTGTCAGTGTGTTGCTGGAGAGTAGAAATGGTGATTGGGCACAGTAACTATACTGTGTAAGACTGGCCCATGATTTACTGAGAAAGGTGAACTCGCCGGTGTGAGGACCGTTGGAGACAGACTCAAGGAGAGAGCCTTGAGTGGTGTACGTTGGAAGATAGCAGTGAACTCGCCGGGAAGGAATATTGCAGTTTATATTGCAGTGTTATGTCATGTATATATGTGTATATATAGTTAAGAAGTACACTTGGTGATGGTTCTGTTTAGTGTTGTTTACCCCCTTTTCATTTAGATTATTTATTACTGCCAGTTCTTAATAACCAACTATGACTCGAGGTGGGAACCAGTAAGAAGAGGCACTAAGGCCCCATATACAGTTTGACAAGTAAAGAACCCGGTTACTGGCTAAGTGAGGCCTTGACATTATTTGATGCCAGTCGAACCCTTCATCCCTCACTGTCACTCTCTGACATCTGTCCGTTGGGTAATTCCTTACCCATGTTAATGCGTTTCTGTCTACGCCTGCCTGCCTTTCAAGTTTGTATATTAATCTCCAGTGTTGTACAGTATCAAAGGTTTTTTGGCAGTCCAGATATATGCAATCTTCTCAGCCTTTTATGTCTTGCCTTATTTTCGTTACCTTATCATAAAACTTCAGGAGGTTCGTCCGGCATGATTTCCGTTGTCTAAAGTAAGTAATTATAAAAAAAAAGACGCCAAGCCATGCAGGCTATGTAGCACCTACAAATGTGCGGGATATTCATAGGGCGCTAAATATCACCAAGGAAGCCAATCCGAGAACAAAAGCTCATATGGCGAACGATATCAAAGGTATCCGATTCACCAAGGATTCTATCGAGGGACAAATGACCGCGGGGGTCAGTAGGGAAGCAAGACACACGCTCTTCCTTGAAATTAGGACATTCAACAAAGATATGCACGACCGTAAGTGGGATAGAGGGAAACTGCAGTTTGGACAATAACGTGCAGGATGGCGCTCCATTAAATGCTCGTGAGTTAAGCGTGTATGGCCGGTACGTAACCTCGCCAGAGCCGTCTCCCACCCCCGGTTAAAGTGGTAGTAGGGAAGCCATAGGAATACGCGACCTTTAAGAGCATGAAGTTTGTTACCAGTAACAGAAGACCAGTCATCCTGCTAACGGGCACGGATTGAGGAATGAATAACTGGGTCAGAGTCGGAAGAAGGAACACCTTTTTTTGGCGGGAAATGGAACAGGTGCTGATTGCCTCTTTAGCGGCAGTATCCACACGCCGATTTAAGTGAATACCATCATGACTAGGAACCCAGCAAAACTCGACTTAAATCTGCAGGAGATAAGAAATAGCCAATATTGAATTTCGACGACGACAGGATAGACAGAATTAAATGACTCCAGAGCCATGAGGGCACTGCGAGAGTCAACTACAACCACAAAGGAAGAATTACAGCGAGAAAGCAGTTAACGAAGAGCATACAAAATTGCATAAAGTCTGCCGAGAAGATGCTAGTCTCTGGAGGCAGGCAACACATATAGGTGCCATCAGGAAATACAACAGAGTAGCCTACACTGTTGGCAGATACCTGGTTGATACCTGGTTGATGGGGTTCTGGGAGTTCTACTCCCCAAGCCCGGCCCGAGGCCAGGCTTGACTTGTGAGAGTTTGGTCCACCAGGCTGTT